GGAATCCTTCATACCATCCTACCCCCACATAGGAATCCTTCATACCATCCTACCACCACACAGGAATCCTTCATACCATCCTACCACCACATAGGAATCCTTCATACCATCCTACCCCCACATAGGAATCCTTCATACCATCCTACCCCCACATAGGAATCCTTCATACCATCCTACCCCCACATAGGAATCCTTCATACCATCCTACCCCCACATAGGAATCCTTCATACCATCCTACCCCCACATAGGAATCCTTCATACCATCCTACCACCACATAGGAATCCTTCATACCATCCTACCCCCACATAGGAATCCTTCATACCATCCTACCACCACATTCTTTAAAAAAGGGCTTCTTCAAGGGCTCTTTAGTTTGTACAGTGGTTACACAGAAAACCAGCTGAATGCTTTAATGCTTCATGTTAAGTAGTTCTTCTTCATGATGGAGAACCTGTTGTATATAGTTAATAAAACAGGGCAGAGGTGGGAACAAGACGCTAAGTTGCAACTAACACCTAAGTCTCAAGTCTTGACACTCGAGCCCTGAGTCAAGACTCTCGAGTCTCATTTCAAGTCCCTAGTTAGTACAAGCAATTCTCAAGTCGAGTCCCTAGTCAATAGAGTCTGAAGTCAAGTTAATACAGGCGAGTCTTGAGTCAAGTCCCTAGTCAATACAGGAGAGTCTTATGTTGAATCCCAAGTCAAAACAGCTGAGTCTCGAGTTAAGTCCCAAGTTGAGTCCCAAGTCAATACAGGTGAGTCTTGAGTCAAGTCCCTAGTCAATACAGGAGAATCTTAAGTTGAGTCCCAAGTCAATACGGCCGAGTCTTGAGTTGAGTCCCTAGTCAATACAGGCAAGTCTTGAGTCAAGTCTCAAGTCAGTACAGGCGAGTCTCAAGTCTCAAGTCAAGTCCCAAGTCAATACTTGGGTGTGTGGGGGGTTTGGGGCAAAGTAGTTGAGGCCTTTTATAGAAGGGATGACTGACACACTGAGACAAAACTCTATGGAGTAAATTTTATAGAGTAATTTGTTTAAGAACTTGGAGCTGTTATCAGCATTAAAAACGACTCCATCGTGCTCTGTGTCTTCTGATGGTGTGTAGTGGTTAAATTCCTCAGTGCTGCACGTCTTTTCTTTCAACACATTAATGTTGACCTAAAAGCGACCTGTGACAACAACGCAGTGCTGCTCTGTGTGCATTAAATTCACTTACACCAGTACTGAGCACACAAAATACACACACACATCATCTAAACCGCTTATCCTTCTGGGTCACGGTGGGGTGCTGGAGCCTATCCTAGCTGTCATTGGGCGGAAGGCAGGATACACTCTGGACAGGAAGCACACAAAATACATTTGCTGGAATCATCCAGATTTATTTATTTATACACTATTCATAAATAAACGCTTCTTGTATGAGTGTAGGTTTCTTTTTCTGCTCTGTTTCTCCTGACTGTGAGACGTGTGTTCTTCATCATTTCCAAAGCCACTGAGTCATTTTGTAGGTGTTTCTCAGAGATTTTAATCCCATCTAAATGCACCATGTCAGTCATTTACTCAGTACTAACTGTGCGCCCCAAATCAGTAATGATCCAGGTGCCTTTTACTCTGTTTAAAATGAGACGTACAAACAGTCTCAGATTATACTAATCCTGTGCTATAAGAAGAGCCATAGACAAGCTTAGATTAAATTAATCCTGTACTATAAAACGAGCACCACAAATCATCTCTGATTATATCTGATTATATTAATCAGATACTGAGCTGGAAACACAAAGAACTTTAACAAACAACATGATAGGAAACTTTTAATCTCTGCTTAAAACATAAATGACTGTCATGTAGCTCATGTCAGCTCTGAGGGTCTGTTCCAGAAGTGGCTAATAAACAGGCTCTGCTCGGACACTGGATTATGACCATACCCCCCCCCCCACAAAGGGATTATTTGCAATAACAGAAATATTCATTTCAATATTAAATCTCTCTCTTTCTTAAAAATGGTTTGAAAACAATTTTATATTAGTGAAAATACTTTTAAATGCTGATGGCTTTCTGTTGATACATAATGATTTTGATAAATTTGGAGTCACAACCAAAGAATTTGCTACAGTTTTTGATGCTACACCACAACAAATGGTTCAGCTTCTTAAGGGCTCATTAAACAGTGGTATGGACATCACAGGGAATGATCTCTTTATTGGGGAAACTGATATCCTTAAATATAAATGTACATATAAATATATTAGGAAAGTCATATCAAATCAAAGTATTAATAAACAATCTTATTGGTCTTTGATTTGAGAGTATAAATTGGAATAAAACATGGACAGTTCGTAATGAATATTGTATGTATAATAAAGTAATATTTACACAGCACATCCCCTGTTAAAGTGTTTTATGGAGATTTAGAATGATTAATATTTCTGTACCTTCTGTGGTTTAGAAAAGGAAACATCATCCATCTGTTTATCAATGTACTGACACTGAAGTGTTTTGGAGAGATGTGGAAAATGCTGTGAGAAGAAAGGCTGGACACTGTATCTCACTGGATGAGTCAGGTGTTATTATTCATTTTTCTAAGGATATTAAAGTGTTTCTTTTTGTACAGTACTTTATTATTATGAGTAAATATCATTTACATAAAAACAGATGGTTTGAAAATCAGCCAAACTTTACATATTTCCTCCGTGAGGTTAAGGAATATGGTACTATTCTAAAATATATAAAAAGGACTTTTGAATTATATATTGATTATGATTTGTTTAATGTGTAGGTACACCCTTGACTGTTGTTGTATGTTATAATAATATGTAATTATTATAACATAATAATGCTATACTATCATTATGGTATAGTATCCGCTTAATAATGTCTGTCTTCAGAGCAGCAGAGCCACAGTTTCACTCCAGCAGGTTCAGGCCAGTAAAATTCAGTATCAATTGTGTTGGGTTAACGTTATATTTTGAGCTTTAGGCTGGAACAGACTCTGGTTTGAACACATATAGAGATTCACAGGGTAAATATTACACCAACTACAGCTGATGTGTCTCTGGGTAAACTAATGGGTTATGTAGACATGCAGCTCAATAACCTACCCTTAATATGAGAGCTTACATTACATGTACAGGATTAAAACTTTACCTTAAGCAGCTTAAACTGAGCATAATATTAAGCTTAAGGCTGAAACAAACTTTAGTTTTTGAATGTATCCCTGTTGAAAAACCCATAAAAACCACTGAGTGTTCCTTTTAGTTTCTGATGGTTTTGTAATGTGTTTTGTTTATGGTTTAACCGGTTAATGGTTGATTCGTATACTGGCGACAGTCTCTCTTCCTGAATGCTAATATACATATCAACACATACACCCAGCACAAACAGTCGCTGTTTACATCAGAGGCCTTATAAATGAGGAGCCACTGGATGAAATATGAATGAGACGCTGTCCTACTGCGCATGCGCTCCACTCGCCTGAAGCCGCTGTAGTGAAACTGCGGCTCCTGCGGCTCTGCAGCCAGACCCATCGCAGTTCCGCTCGGGTGTGACTGTTTAACTGAAAACCCGGGCGTGCTCAGTACGTCCGCTTTTCACAGATGAGTTTTTTAAGGCGCGGAATTAGAAAAATTAGCACAAACATTACAGTGAGTACATAAACTTTACAGTAATGAGCTCTGAGTCTCAGCGCGCTGATTCAGCTGTGCAGCATCTTCTGACTTAGGATATCAAAATAATAAGTTGTGTAGGACCCCTGTCCTCTGGTGGACCCCCATGGTAAGCACGACTGCGTCTTTCCTAGCTGTTTATTATAAAAGTATATTGTGCATTTCTACAGAGATCTCCCTCAGACACTGTGTGATGATGATGATGATGATGATGATGATGATGATGATGATGATGAAGTGTGACTGAGCTCATCAGGGCTCACAGCAGTAATAATGAGCTTCGTTATTTCTCTGTTTCATGTGGACTCAGCGAGTAGCCTCTGCAGAGCTGACCGCTCTGAGCAGGTCCGGCACTGTGGGCTCGTTTAGTGCCCAGTAACCAGTTTAATATCCCACTGAACTCGCTGAGCTTTGTACACATGGCATGAGTGAGATTCGCACGTTGCTGCTGCTGCTGCTGCTCAACGCGGCTCCTGCAGTTATTCTATCAGTCTGTTGTGACATACATTGGAATATTGGTGTATTTTGTACATACATGGTATATTTTCATTCCAGATATAATCTTCTCTGAATGTCTTTGAGTTCGAAATGATTATCCATCCCCCAACCACCATTAAAGCCTTCTGTACCTCTCAGCTCAACATGATCACTTAAAGGGGAATTACAGGAGGTTTTCAAAATTTCTGCATTATTAAAAACTAAGATGTAAACAGAGTCATTCAGAGTGGTTTGGTGTGAAGCGCTCTGTTCTAGGGAAACTTACAGAGTCAGAACTGTTCACAGTGGTGGTGATAAGAACCAGACATCCACCTCTAAAAGCTCCCTCACGGGAAGTTACTACACCCCCAGTTCCAAAAAAGCTGGGACACTGTGCAAAATGTAAATAAAAACAAAATTCACTGATGTGCAAATCATTTAAACTGTATATTTTATTGAAAATAGTACAAAGACAAACATATTAAATGTTAAAACTGAGAAATTTGTTTTTTGAAAATATTTGCCCATTTTGAATTTGATGCCAACAACACGTTCCAAAAACGAGGGCCTGTTTACCACTGTGTTTCATCCCCTCTCCTTTCAACAACACTCGTTTGGGAACTGAGGAGATGTTTTTAAATGATTTGCACATCGTTTCATTTTGTTCTTTATTTACATTTTTCAAAGCATCTCACCTTTTTTGGAAATGGAGTTGTACATGAAATTGTTATGAATTCACAGCCTGATGTCTGAGACACTGTTTTACAACAGTTTGATAAAGTTTAGGCCTTAAAACCCCGATGACGATCACTGATGAAAACTGCATCATTTTGTTGCATATACACAAAAAAAAACTGTGTGTGTGTGTGTGTGTGTGTGTGTGTGTGTGTGTCTGTAGGTCAGTCATGCAGTCCTGCAGTTCTGCTCTCTGTATCCTGATCTTACTGACCTCTACATTCACTACTGGTAAGAACTGCACTGTCACTACTTTATCATCTTATTAAACATTTTGCTGTATTTTATCTTCCCTCTGTCACTCCAAGCAATGACACTATACTAAATTAATGATTAATTATTTAAATAAAAACAATATTTAAAAAAATGATCATTTATTTTACATGAATTTTAATTATTTTAATGATCATCTGCACAATCTCGCCGCAATCTGCTGTGAAGGATCTCTCGCTCACCACTGATGTAGTCAAGGCCACCTTTGTCAAGCCCAAGACAAGTCCAATAACATTTCAAGACCAAATGAGAGCAAGACAGGGTTAATACCAAGACCCCAAAAAATCAAGTCCTCTTCAAAACGAGATCTTTACAAGTCTTTATCTCCTTTCAGTACAAATTACTGGAAAATAAAAAGGAATAATTTTCTTTTCACGAAACAAAGATGTTTCTCCAAAAATAACTCCATTAAATTGATCTAAAAATCCAACCAAAGCTCACTTGGGATGAATCCACCCCGTGCCTGCTCTGAAAGAACACACACAATGCCCACTCTCAAGGAATCCACTCAGTGCCCACTCTGAATGAATCCACCCAGTGCCCGCTCTAAATGAATCCACTCAGTGCCCACTCTGAAGGAATCCACTCAGTGCCCACTCTGAATGAATCCACTCAGTGCCCACTCTGAATGAATCCACCCACTGCCCACTCTGAAGGAATCCACTCAGTGCCCACTCTGAATGAATCCACCTAGTGACCTCTCTGAATGAATCCACCCACTGCCCACTCTGAATGAATCCACCCAGTGACCTCTCTGAATGAATCCACGCAGTGCCCGCTCTGAATGAATCCACCCACTGCCCACTCTCAATGAATCCATCCAGTGTCCGCTCTGAATGAATCCACCCACTGCCCACTCTCAATGAATCCATCCAGTGTCCGCTCTGAATGAATCCACGCAGTGTCCGCTCTGAATGAATCCACCCAGTGTCCGCTCTTAATGAATCCACGCAGTGTCCGCTCTGAATGAATGAATCCACCCAGTGTCCGCTCTGAATGAATGAATCCACGCAGTGTCCGCTCTGAATGAATGAATCCACGCAGTGTCCGCTCTGAATGAATGAATCCACGCAGTGTCCGCTCTTAATGAATCCACGCAGTGTCCGCTCTGAATGAATCCACGCAGTGTCCACTCTGAATGAATCCACCCAGTACCCGCTTTTATCGAATCCACTCAGCCCCTGGTCTGAAAGAATCCACCCAATGCCCACTCTGAATGAATCCACCCAATACTCACAAGTGAAATTGAAATTTTATGAAATGCTAATTAAAACAGAAATTAGTGATTAGAAAAATCAGTTTGCTCTTTTTTCCTTTATATTGTTTTTGATTTTCATTCAAAAACATTCCAACAAGCTGGGGACAGGAACATGTTTAACACTGTGTTGCACCACTTTCCCTTTTAACTGCATTTATTAATTGTTTGGAGGCTAAAGATAAACTGATCTAGTTTGAAAGTGAATTGTTTTTTACAATTTTACGTTAATTTTAATTTTCACTTTTTAAGTCTTCAGACGGATCATCATACAGGGCTTTCATTGTCATACTTTGAGCTTAATTAGACAAACATTTTCAATGGGAGATAATTCTGGTCTGCAGGCAGGACAGTCCATTACTCACACTCTCTAATGATGCAGCCATGTGTGCAGAATGTTTCTTTGTGGTATCAAGTTGAAATCAGCATGGATGCCCCTCAAAAAGACATCATCTAAAAGGCTTCATGTGTTGCTGCAAAATGTGTCCTCCACACCATGACAGACCCTGGATTTTGAACTTTATACTAGTAACAATCTGGATCACCCTTTTCTTCTTTGGCCCAGAGTAGACGACGTCCAGTATTTCCATAAACAATCTAAAAGATTGAATCATCAGACCACATTACACATTTCCACTGAGCATCAATCCATTTTAGATAGGCTGGAGTCACTGTTGACATATGGCAGGGGTAGCCAACTATGGTCGTGGGGGTCCAGTGTCAGCATTTGTTCTTAACACCTACTAAACCTGGCAGTTAACTGCTCTCAGGTGATTCAGGTGTGTTTGAGTAGGAAAACCACCAAACCATGCAGGACTCCAGCCCTTCAGGACTGGAGTTCTCCACCCCACTGTTATATCCCACAGGACAGGACAGCCACAGGACAGACTTAACCTGCAATTGCAGTGATGGACAGTGTTTAATGACAATGGGTTTTCAAAGTTTTCCTGAGCCCATGTGTGATATCCACCACGGAAACATGCTGGTTTTTAATGCGGTGCTGTCTGGGGGGTCGAAGGTCAAGTTCATTTATTTTTCATTTCATTTTCATTTCATCCCTTTCCTTTATGCACAGAGATTTCTCATGAGTCCCTGAATCTTTTAATGATATTTTGTATTGTAGAGAGTGAAGTACCTAAAACCCTTACAAATACTTGGTTGAGCAACACTATTTTTATACTGCTGGATTTTTTGCTGATTCGTTTTTGGTAAAGTGGCCTCGAATGCACTTATAACCCAGATAGCATGCAGATGTGTGCCACATCTGGCAGAGACAAGGCAGTGCTGGCCCATGGTTAGCGCTAGCTAACTGCATGTGAGCCAAAAGTGGCCCATATATTAAAATGCTCATGTGGCCCACATGTCTCAAAACTCTGGGCCAATTCTGGGAAACATTGCCAGAGCTGACATGAGCTACAGTTTCATTTGTGGTTTTAAACAGGGATAAACAGCACTGTGGGGGAGCATTTACATTCAGATCTTGGCTGTATCTGTAACAGTACACTGTAAAAATCCAGCCTAAAATGATTTAGCTTTTGTGACTGTAACCAATCAGCAGTATCCAGACGCGTGCGGATTAAAGGAGTGAAAAAGGTTTTATTATCGCTAGGCAGGCTCGTTGTCAATACACAGGCAGGGGTCAAAACCAAAAAGCGGAGTAGGATCACAACGGTGATCATAACACCAGGGGAACAGAACCAAAGGGACAAGGCAAAAGACGTGGTCGAAAAAACAGTAAGTTTGCTGGGAAACAATACCTCGCACTGATTCTACCTACAGCCCGGGCTTAAATACTAAGCTAACAGATCACATGATAAAGCACAGGTGAAACAGGTCAATACTCAGGAGACTTTGATCGTTGACAGGTGCGTGAGACATTGTCCGAAGTCACGTGATCTCCCAGAGTCCGACTCTCCCTGAGTGTTCGTTACATGCGTGACAGTGACAGTTTATTTGTTACTTCGCCAAAGAGAAACACCAGGTTAAAATGCTCATTTTAGTTAATTTAACACAATCTGTCTCAGCACTAGGAACACTGCTATATATCCTAATCTGCAGTTTAATTCAGATTTAGTTTAAAATGGTTTGTGGCTGCTTAACATTTTGTGTTCATGAAACAACAAACCTGATCTGAGGTTCACTGAACTTGAACCTTTCTGTCAAACACGTCACTAATTTTAAATGAAAGAAATCTTTTTCACAGTGCAGTAAACATTTTGAATGTAGGTTTGTGAACAACAGTGTCTGAGTCGTGCAGTGGGCTGAACATTTGTTCCTTCATCAGGAAATCATGAGTTTAAATCCCATCAACACCATAGCAGTCTGCAGTCGGTACTCCAAGAGTGGGAAACACCACCTCTCCCTGAGCCTCATGGCACCGTGCAACAGGGCAGTTGTTGTAATGACCTGGTGTTGTACTGGTGGTTTTGAGTTGTGGGTCAGTTCTGGCAGTGCTGGTTTAAAGGTGGCTGAGATGTGGCCCTGTAGTGGCAGTAAACAGGCCGGGTTCTGATAACCACATCTGGCCCACTCCTGTCCCATCACTCCATGTGGTATGTGGGCTGCATCTAAATGCTGTATGTGGTCCAGGTTTGGGCCTTATCAAATCTGCTATCTGGGCTGCTTCTTTCATAACCAAGCATCACCTGTTCAAGATGTTGTGTGAATGTTTCAAAAATATAAAAATATGGAATGTGTTGCAGGCCTTCATTTCAGACTGAATGAATATTTACCAAAACAGTGACAAATTGACAAAGTTAAAACACTAAATGTCTTTTTTATACAGTTTTAATTTACATATAGGTCAGCATAGATTTATAAATCACTGCTGTATGTTTTTATTTGCATTTTACCTATATTCACAATTTCTTTGGAATTAGGTTTTGTATATGGGGGATATGGAATTCTCTGATGGTTTACTATGGGGGTCTTAGTTGTTAAATGTGTTAAACTAACCCCACTGTGTGGTGGCTGTACTTTAGCCCTCTCACTGTCATTTATGGCACCTCTAAGATAGCATAAAATCATCATAACTGTATCTGGTTCAGTATAGCCAGTACTGTATATTAACATACACCTGACTGGATCTGGACATCACTCATTGGTTTTAAAGAATGTGAGAGAGAATATGAACATTTTAAATCTGCACCACATTACATAACTACACTTCACTCTCTTTCTCACTTCATGTTCTTTTTATGTTTTTTTCTCTCTTTCAGTGTCTGAATCAGCTGTTGGTCCAGTGAAGGTGAAGCTTCATGACTCTGCTACTCTGCCCTGCTCTGAGAGATGCTCTGGTTTGGTCAGATGGACTGTGTTCCATAAACCCACTGATGTTCTGGCTGAGTGTGATCAGACTTCATGTAGATCAAAGGAGGGATATCAGATGATCCATGATCAGTACCTGAAGGGGAATCTCTCTCTCACCATCACTGAGGCTGATTTCAGTAAGAGAGGCTGGTACACGAGTGACTGTGATGGTAAAGACATCTGTGATGTTCAGCTACAGATTGAACGTAAGTGTCCATCTGTTTTTTTGCAGAGGCTCCAGTGATTTTTGTGCAGTGTATCAGATGAACACACAGTGGATGAAGTTCCTGTTTGTTTTTCTCCTCAGCTTTGAACACTACAGTTCAGATAGAGCCTGGTGAATCTCTGGTGCTGAAGTTGGACATTTCAGATCCAGTGGCGGTGATTTATAACAGCACAGTTGCAGCTGGACCATCCAGTGGTCAGATCTGTAAGGTGGATGGAGGTTCATTACAGTGTAAACCTGAATACACACAGAGAGCTTCAGTAATCTCTGCTCTTGAGCTGAGAGCAGTGACTCCATCTGATAGTGGAGTTTATACTGTAATGGACAAAAGTAATGAAGAAGTTATTCGTACCTACACTCTGACCATTCAAGGTATGAATTATTATTATTTTTTATTTTGCCTCAAGAAATGCATTTTCCTGTTGAGTCCTGATGGTCTGGTGGTGGTGTGTAAGCTGACCAAGTTGGAACTGAATACAGAGGTTCTAACCCTGAGGGTAACTATTTAGACATTGAGCTGAAGATTCATCTTTGGGAAATTCATATGACCTATTCAATAACCAATGGTGAACTAATATGGACGTATAGTATAGATCATTTTTTTCAAGTATGAAATGTAAAAATCCTCACTATTTTTGATGCACCTTGGGTTGTGTCGTCAAGTGGTTGCACTGGAAAAAACTCTTGACTGTTGACCATTGAGCAAGTGCTGGTCAGCAGATCATCTCTGCTGTAATCTTTATTTTGCTGCTGACTTTCAGCACACTTTCACAGGGGGTGAGTCTGCACTCTCAATTGGTCAACTGATTTGGAGTGACAGGTCCTCTGAGATGTAGCCACTCAGCATTAATCGCCCCAACATGGCGGAACGTGTAATACAGAGTGCAGCGTTTTACCAGCATATCTCACGTTATGAGCAATGTTTGTCATGTTCATGTAAATGATTATGTAGCACATATTTATGAGTCTTGTGTCGACCTGTGTAAAATGACATAACTTGCTTGGGCATTGAAGATAATAAACTTGGTTGTTTATGAATGAATGAAACTGTACCGTCTTTGGAGTTTTCAGTTGCTAGTGCTGCTAGTCAACTAGCAGGTCACCTTTATTCCTTTTGTTGTGATTAAACCTGACTTTCTCTAGACTTTCTCATGGCAGCAGTCATAGCTGGCAGTAATGAGTGGTGTTTTCCACTCTTTCCTGAGTGTGGGTTGGGTCAGCGCTGTGTGAGTTTGCCTTTGACCAGCAGCACCACAGATTCAACGATTTCCTGACCCAGCATACCTGATTAGCTCATAAAGGGCTTGATAATCAGTCGATGAGCTGAATCAGGTGAATCAGGCAAGGAGTAGTTGGGACCGTGCAGAGTTGTAGGTCTCCACAAGCAGAGCTAATAAACTCTGATTTAAGCATCTCTAAAGCTCACCTAATTAGCCTCTACAAGAATATACTATAATGTCAGACCTGCCAGCATAATCTTTTCTGGCAGTTCTACACTGAGTATGAAGTATGAGTCGAGGCAGATCACAGCTCTCAGAGTGGACATGTTTATATATTCCAATGATTGTCACTCCAAATCAGTTGACCAATAGTGAGTGCAGACGAACGCCCTCTTCTAAGACCCACCCCCTGATAAAAAGTGCCAAAAGTCAGAAACAAAAGAGTGATTCCAGAAGCAATATATATATATATATATATATATATATATATATATATATATATATAAAAAAAAACTGGCAAAATGAGTAATACATTTACACTACATTTCAAAAAGTATTCAGTCACCCTTGAATTCTGGTGTTCCAATCACTTCCATGGCCACAGGTGTACAAAACCAAGCACCTAGGCCTGCAGACTGCTTCTACAGACATTAGTGAGAGAATGGGTCGCTCTCAGGAGCTCAGTGGATTCCAGCGTGGTACAGTGATAGGATGCCACCTGTGCAACAAGTCCAGTCGTGAAATTTCCTCACTACTAAATATTCCACAGTCAACTGTCAGTGGTATTATAACAAAGTGGAAGCGTTTGGGAACGACAGCAAACTCAGCCACGAAGTGGTCAGCCACGTAAAATGACAGAGCAGGGTCAGCGGATGCTGAGGCGCATAGTGCACAGAGGTCGCCAACTTTCTGCAGAGTCAATCTCTACAGACCTCCAAACTTCATGTGGCCTTCAGATTAGTTCAAGAACAGCATAGAGAGCTTCATGAATGGGTTTCCATGGCTGAGCAGCTGCATCCAAGCCTCACATCACCAAGCGCAGTACAAAGTGTGGAATGCAGTGATGTAAAGCGCCGCCACTGGACTCTAGAGCAGTGGAGACGTGTTCTCTGGAGTGACCAATTACGCTTCTCCGTCTGGGAATCCGATGGACGAGTCTGGGTTTGGCGGTTGCCAGGAGACGGTACTTGTCTGACTGCATTGTGCCAAGTGTAAAGTTTGGTGGAGGGGGGATTCTGGTGAGGGGTTGTTTTCAGGAGTTGGGCTCGGCCCCTTAGTTCCAGTGAAAGGAACTCTTAATGCTTCAGCAGACCGAGAGATTTTGATTTCATGCTCCCAACTTTGTGGGAACAGTTTGGGGAGTTTGGCCCCTTCCTGTTCCAACATGACTGCACACCAGTGCACAAAGCAAGGTCCATAAAGACATGGATGAGCGATTTCGGTGTGGAAGAACTTGACTGGCCAGCACAGAGTCCTGACCTCAACCCGATAGAACACCTTTGGGATGAATTAGAGCGGAGACTGCGAGCCAGGCCTTCTTGTCCAACATCAGTGTCTGACCTCACAAATGCGCTTCTGGAAGAAGGTCAAAAATTCCCATAAACACTCCTAACCCTTGTGGAAAGCCTTCCCAGAAGAGTGGAAGCCGTTATAGGCTGTATTGTTTAATTGTTGCTTCCTCATTTACTGCCAGAAAGCACAGAAATGTGGACGATTCAGTCTGAATGAACGAGCCCTGCGGCTTGCTGTTCATGCTGCACCACTCCTGGGTCTGCATCCAAGCAGCTGAATGAAAGGTCATTTTTATCAGTGTTTCTTGACTTTACCTGATCTGTAGTCGTGTGGATCTACAGGACTCATCACTGGTTTGAGTCATATAAAACATTCATGTTTGAAAATGTCAGAAGGTCTCTGATTTCTCCAGAGCTGCAGTAGATCTGAGAGCTGAAGTCTGACTCATTTACTATCTCACTTTACTGGATCTTCTGCATCGGCAGTCACTTGCAATCGAGCTCCTCACCTGGAAAACTGATTATATTACAAATATGTGTGTGTTTTTCTTTTGTAGGTGACCAGTCAGTTCTGGACACAGATGAAGGAGCTGCTGTACCAGAGTGGGTGATTGTACTGAGTGTGATGGGGGCTGCACTCGTAGCTGTGATTATGGTATCAGTGGTGGTGATTGTGCGGCTGAGGAGAGAAAATCAGCTTCTACAAGCGGAAGATACAAGTAACAGACATCGAAGGAATCATCACTACAGTCCAGGTGTTAAGAGACCGTCACCCCACAAGAATGAATGACCAGGTTAAGATGAGGATGAGAGGTTAATATCAGCATTTGGAATCATAATCAGCTCTTCTTTCTGAAATCTATAATTTTACGGAAATTTTCAATAAAGGTTTTGCAGAAAAACTGTTATTTTACAGATTTTTACCAAATTATTATGATCAAACACCATCAATAAAAATGCTGTGGCCTAGACTGGCATGTGTTTGTCCGTTTTCTGATTCAATTTCCTGATTCAGTTCCACTTTATCTGCAGATGTTACCTCACTGTTCATCTGCGTTTTAGGTGTTTATTCACCGTAAATTACATTAGAGACAGCAGTAAAACCGCTGTGGTTCACACTAGCAGCGTTAGCGTGGTTCAGACTGCTGTGGTCCGACTGAGCTGCAGTGGTTTTGGGATGGATGTTCGTTAGTTTACCGATCCGCTGAGCTGCGCTGGTCCGTCGTGTTGAGAATCTGCTTCTGAGGAGTCCAGCACTGGACTAGACACATAGCTAGCTACTTCAATTAGCCGCAAGCTGAGTGACCTGTTTTTCTATTAACAGTATACGGCTTCACACTGCGCTCAACAACCGACTGAGCAGATAAAAAGATAGCACAAAAGGTTCTGCAGATAAAAACTGTTATTTTACAGATTTTTCATAAAATTGTCATGATCAAGCATCTTCTTTTAAGTGATAGCACAAACATGCAGATAAAAACTGTTACTTTACAGGTTTTTTTAATTACTGCGATCAAACACCTTCAACAAAGTAAAGGCACTAAAGTTTCTGTAGAGGTTACATTTACTGACATCAACAATAACATTCAAGCAGTGACAAAGTTTCACATTTATTTTACCCACTCAAAAAATGGGCCAAATTTGTGCCCCCACCAAATAAAGCACTTTAGAAGTAGATCAGACATAACGGACCAGAAGTCACTACTTGTCAATTATTCAAGCAGACAAAATATTAAATGATGTCATTCTAATGATGTAAGACAAGGAATGCAAATTTTACCAACTGTTGTCTGATTCAACAGATTCAGTTTCTGAAAATTAGTGTCAAGAAAATTGAGCTTTATTGAAAAACTGTAGCTGTAGCTTAGCTATTTACCACCATTGGCTCAAATTCGAAACAAAGTGCTCTCAGCCCTGAACGACACAGGAAAATCAGGCAGTATAAATATGGTGGGTGCTGTCCTACATCAGTCATGTTGAGGGGTTTAATATCATAACACTAACATCCACCCTAAGCATGGTCAAGAATTTACAGTGCAAAACCAACTCCTTTAAAATGCCATTTCAAATATGAGCATGAAGACAACTACAATTTCAAAAACCAACATGAGCTTAAAGACTCAGTTTATTTGGTAAACACTTAACCTGAGCTGTAACGCCGGACCATCCAAAGAGACTTACTTTCCACCACATGTGAAAATTTTTCTGTTTAGCTTGTGTCCATCCAAATTCATCAAGATCTTCTGGACAAACTCAAGTTGTCAGAAAGCTGAAAACAAAGGCATGAAGGAGTCCAAATACCATGATGAATGCATTTCCAAGATTGTTGACCTCTTATCACAATAGTAATGTCCCATAGCTCAGCATCGTCCTCATTACCGTCTCTCCAAATTGTGTAAATCCCCATTGTGCACTCACATGTCCTCCACATCACCAATGACAGACCAAACACAAATACAAACACAGTCACTCACAGGTCAGTGGACCAGCAGACGTCTGCATTTTCAAGGCTTGTAAGTGGTTCACACTAGGAGCGTTAGCGTGTTCAGACTGCTGTGGTCCGACCGAGCTGCGGTGGTTTTGGGATGGATGTGGGTCAGTTTACCGATCCGCCGAGCTGAGCTGGTTCAGCGTGTTGAGAATCTGTTTCTGAGGAATCCAGCACTGGACTAGACACCTCGCTACTTCAGTTAGCCTGACCTAAGTGACCTGGCGCTTTTCGTTTCAGTTCAAAAACTGTTCTAAAGGACTTACAGCTTATCGTTCCTGCTTCTGCTACTTCCTGTCTGGGCTATTGCAATGCCTTGATTTTCTGACTTTGGCATTACTTATTTTACTTTTGTCAGATTATTTGGCACATATGTGCTCAAACTCACCATGACATCACTGGCTGGGTGTGGCCAGAGCCACAACACGCATGGAAGATGCAACATTGAGAGCAGTGTGGCTTTGTACTCTTTAAAAAAGACTGTTATGTTTGATGTAATGAAAAGTCTGTTAAATTTGTGTCTATTACAGAGTTTGAATGTAAAATTATACGAAAATATTAAACTAATAAGATATACCTTAAAAGTACGAAGAAAAAACATGAAATTGTTAGTATGGACATAAACCTTTATATAATGTGCTACTTGTTTATTTACAGATAATTATTGTCTTTTTCCAGAAATTTGCATGTAATGTAAAAAAAAACAAACAAAAAAAAAAAACTGAAAAATACTGTATAAATAACAGTAATTTTTCTGTTAAAAAAATGAAAAAATTGTAATTTGTCTTTGTTGGCAGAATCCGTAAAATAACCGTAATTGTACAGAATTTTGTATATTATAAATATAATATCTTTAAGGCACATAAATGATCTTATGTGCCTTAAAGATAAACCTAAACTGTAAAATATTTACATATACACTTATACAATTACATATACTACATAAGCCTTTAAATAGCTCTTCTTCAGTGATCTTCATCAAATCCAAAACTCCACTTCAGATTCATCAAAATGAAATGTAAACAGTTAGAACAGGTCCTGGTCCTGTAGATCCACCACCCTGGATCTGGACATCCAGATGACCTTAAAAGCCTTTATTACCTGGATCAGGTGTGTTAGTTTAGGGGTAGAGTTGAACATCTGAGTGCAGTTTCCACTGGAATTTCCTAGTTAGCATTATGAAACATTTAGCTGTTGTGTTTTTTCTGTTTGGCCAAAACTTGTTTTGTGGAAAGAACTGATCTGGATACATTAGTAGGTTTTTGGTTGAGGAGAAACTCTAATCTGGAATTATCTTCTCTAGGGTGAACACGTCCTCCAGTCTAACTGAAAACCTTCTTTATACTGAATGTTTTTCCAAATTTGTTATGTTAAAACAGTGATCCACAGGAAATGAAACTCAGGACAATAATCATGTTTTCATGAACAGAGTAAACATTAAACTGTACCACAGCTTTCACTGATCACACCCATCATTGCTCTGATTATCTTATCATACAGTTATGCTGAGTGAACAGATGGTCTTCATCTCTCATCACTCTGACCTTTCATGACCTGAAGACTTTCCTGAAGAGCACTAATCACATTCACCTCCTCTGTTTTGTCTGTTGTCTTCAGATGCTGAGCAGAGCTGGATGTGGAAGGATGAATACCAGCAGGGATTGAAAATTGGAGCACTGGGATTTGGGATTGGAGCGCTGGTTCTCGGTGTGATTCTGGGGTTCTATGCTGTGCCGAGGGGGCTTTATTTGAGTGACAGATGTTTCCAGAGACTCAGAAGACGAGACTCCTCATGCGTGAATCAAACTGAGGATGTGGAAAAGAGTGTTCCCCTGACATGAGGGAATACCAGCCAACGGAATGACCCTCATCATAGGGAATGACTTTAAATCAATAAAAATGACACTGAAATTTACTTGTTTACTTATTTTTATGTCCCAAACGAGCTGATGCTCTCAAGGCCACTCCACCCATCTGAAGCTGGTTTCTTATTCCCCGACTTCATGTTCAAATTTTCCTGTTCGAACCTTAAATGGTGATCAGTAGTGAAAGTAGAAACACGGCTCAGGTCCTAATTTGCTGGTCCAGCCAGTGTCTTTACCATCCAGCATTACAGCTCTTTAACTGGACCCCAGTTTCCAGAATGCACTGGTGCTGCTGTGAAAGTCTTCCTGTTTCTGCAGGGTTTTATTCTCTGTTTGTGAAAGTGCTGAGTATGAGTTTTTTCCATTTTTTTAAAGGTATGAGAGTTATTTGTATCTGCTATTTATTACTGTTATACTCCTCTGTATGAAATAAAGTGTGTATTATCCCATGATTCCCTGGTGTTTCTTCAGTGAACAGCTTTAGCTGAAATGATCAGGACAGTGAAGTGTGACTGATTCTGACCATCTTCACTCTTGAACAGAAATGTAGATTCATCAGACCAGGCCACATTTTTCCAATCTTCAGCTGTCCAGTTTTAGTGAGCCTGTGTCCACTGCAGCCCCAGACTCCTGTTCTTGGCTGACAGGAGGAGAACCTGACCATGGTCTTCCACTGTTGTAGCCCATCCACCTCACGGTTAGATGTGTTGTGCATTCAGAGATGCTTTTCTGATCACGTTGTTGTACAGAGTGGTTATTATATGTCTTGAGTCTGTCATACATTGAGCACTTAAAGGGGAGATTTAATCCACAGATTTTTCAAAAGTTCTACATAATTAAATAGTCAAAAAGGTAAACAATGTCATTTGAGTTTTTCTGCTCACTGTAGGTAATAAGTGAGTTGGGGGTTTCACTGTTTTAAGTAACTATTTAATCCCAGAAATTAAAAAAGGGAATCATCAAATATAAACCTCAGCATTCAAGCCTTTACTCTAACGTATTATATTAACACTATTCTTATGATATGAACTGTAAACCATCTATTTATCATATGTACATAATTAACTAAAGGAATAATAAACAAAAAGTGAATCAAAACACAAAGTATTTAACAGTCAGTTTATAGTGAGCTGCTACCGGCTGCTGTTTATTTGTAGTAAACTATATCCAGTGATCAGCTGTGTGGCTGCATGTGCAAATCCATAATTCTAATTTGATTCACTTACATTATTATTATTATTATTATTATTATTTATGAGCCCTGTAAACTGTTAATACCTCAACCAGCTGATTAAACACGTACAATCAGTTGAACTCCAGCCTGTTTGGAATGAACACCTGCAGCTACAACGGCGCTTTAAGGATAAGACTGGTGACCCTGTGTTGGACCGTCATGCCTGTCATTTATAGCGTTATACTGCCATCTAGTGTACATTCACAAGAACAGCATTTCTGCCGTTCCAGTGAATTCCAAACAGCAGTTGTGGTTCTTGTTGTTATCATTGGTATTGTGATATTATGGTATGTTCTATTATTATTAATTGTAGAAAGTACCCATTTCTGTATATGTATTGCTAGTTAGTTGAATTCTTCGTGTTCAAAAACAATATTAGGGCGCTTTGGAGCTCAGAACTGACCATAGACTCTGCTTATACTTTTACTCTGTAGGAAATCTATAAATAAAACACAATACAGACAGTAGAACAAGCTGACACGAGTCTTTACTGTGCTCAGGTTCAGGTGCTCTAATGTTTTAGAATGAGTTTCAGCAGTTGCAGTCAAATAAACTGGAATTCTGGGAATGCTGCGGCCCCTACTTTATAAATACATTTCAATGGAAAGCACTTTGAACTGCCATCAGTATGAGAAGTGCTCTATAAGCACATATTATTATTATTATTATAATTATTATTATTATTATTATTATTATACATTCCCCAACTTCATATGTGGAAAATAGATCTTTTTTTCATTTGTGTACAAAAAAAAAATCCAAAGATTGTTGATTGTTTATTGAAGACCCTCTTTAGTCCAGTCTTTTCCCTCTTCTTTACTTTCTGTATGTGTTCTTGTGTTTCAGCGCTCCACACTCCACCAGTAGGTGGCGGTAAAGCACCTTACGGTCCTGCAGAGCGTCATTCAGACAGAAGTTTCAGTTTCCCGCCCAAACCGTGAGGAAGAGGAGGTGAGATGGCGGGTCAGTGAGGAGCTCCGAGGAGTAAAGGTCAGAATTAGAGGTCAGTAAACGGGTTTATGCTGAATTAAACTCTAGTTAAACATTATTAGAGGAGCTTCTTTAGAGGCCGTTTTAAGAATTGTGTTGTTGAGCTTCACTCATATAAAACAGTGCTGTGTTATGATTCACACAGAAATACAGATGTTTTACATCATCAGCTGATAATCTGTTAAAAGCGTTTCATCCAAAATTATTACTCATCAATAAACAGCATATTTTTGAAATGACTTTCTTAAAAATCAGGTCTAAAATCAAATCAGTATTATTTAAAATTGTGCGCTTTATTCAGTGGATTATACTGATTATAGTAATAACTGACTCCCTATAATATTGAGTGAAGCTACTCAGAGTCTGAGTGCTGTACTGTAACACTGTACCTGGTGTGATGAGTATTAATGACATCTGGAGCTTCAGTTCTGTAAATTCACATAACCAGACTGTTTATTATTTACATTATTTACATCCTGAAATCACAGTACTGTTATTATTGTTGCATCTTGAAGTGCTCAGCAGATATAAATGGATATTTAGCGCTTAAAGTTGATGTGTTTTACTGGGACAAGAAATGCAGGCAGTGGAACTGAGTATTTGAAACCTGAACAGTTATATAACTTATATAGACAGAACTCTGCAGTTTACACAGCACAAGTTTTTTCAGTTTTTGACATCATTTGAAAAAAAATCCTGCTGGTCTTTACATTGTGTGTAAATCTCATGATGAATGGACTGAAAGAAACGGCCCAGAATTACTTGGTAAAAACTCTGGTTCCATTGACTTCCATTAAAAGTAAACCATGTTTTTTCCTTCTCCTGTAAAGTTACCATTTTGGAGATACGAGGTTTTCGTCCGACAGCAGCGATGTGCTGGTTGAGCTGGTGACCAGCTATGCTGGTTTATACTGTTTTTCTAGGTGGGATAATCTTTAGTCGTGTCAGCTCTGCAGCACCAGACAGCACTGACCTCACATACGATCTTTAACAGCACATTTCACTTTAAACTCTTCCATTTTTCAGGATCCAGACAGCTTTTCCAGCTTGATGATTGACTGATGTCCATTACTGTCCATAATGGAGGATCCAGTTCACTTTTTCAAATGTAAAGAGGATTCCAGCTGCAGACCCAGGTCTCAGCACAGAAATGGAGCAGAAAGCAGCTTGAGACTGTTTCACCAACGTATTTGGAGCACCAGCAGTGACCGTCAGCCAGGACAGATGGAGACACTCAGTTCATACAGGCTTATTCAGCCTGAGGCTTGTTGGAGTAGCTGTGGACGAGGTTCCCACAGCTGTTCAGTGGTGAGTACATGTACTTATGTGTTTCTAATGTTATTGTTGTTGGCTGTTATTAACTGGTGTCCTTTTCGTTTTTCTCTGGTGGGTGTGACCACCGTTTAGCTCAAATACAAGTCTGAGTGCCTCGCCCTCTGCCTTAAAGAGGCATTGGTTTGATTTAGGCAGAGATTCTTCAACATAAGGAGGGAGTCTCTGGTTTAATTCTGCCTTGACCCAATTTTAGCCCAGTGGTCCCTGGATGTTCTTATTCAGAGTGTAGCTCTGTGAGGTTACTCTCGTATGGCTGTATAGTATGATGACAGAGAGTCCTGGAACAGATGTGTCCCTGTGGGAAATTGAAGGCACCCTTACACATCAGCACAGACGCTGCGTTCAGAATCGCTCCTTATAACAGAGATAATGCGCTATATAGTGTCAGCCATTTTCTAGTGTTGTTCGAAATCTCAGCTGGAAAATTCACTCCCTAAATAGTTCACTATGGAATACCCATAATGCATTGCAAGCTTTAGTACACAGCAGAGGGCACCACAGGGCAATTTTTTAATACAAACGTAGGATGATATTATATTAACTACCAAAAGTAATGACTTTTATGAGCTGTGACTGTATGAATTTACGGCAGCTAGTTAATGTGTTTTGCTTGCTCACCCTAAAGCAGAGGTCACTAACAGGTGGTCTGTGGTCTGAGTCCGGACCCAGACGCTGTCCTATGCAGACCTGGACCTATAACCAATAAACTATGGAGAATTCTTTAATTTTGACGGGGTGGTCCTGTTTTAATCCACGTACCTTTTCTAGCCATAACAGTACCGGTTTAGCAGCCTGGAGACTCACAGACCAATCGCATGTGTTGTAAATATCATACATGACGCTACTCAGCCAATCAGATCTATGCATTATGATGAGCACTGAGTCTCGAGTGAGTGACGCTCACACAGGGGAGGGACGAGGCGAGAAACAGCAGTCAGAGAAGAAAGTGAGTCAGAAGGAGGTTATTACATATGCCGTGATCTAAAAAGAGAAAACTGATAAATATTGTTGAAATATCACTGAACTGTACTTTATTTGATTGGACATTCAGTTGTTGACTGTATAAGATGCTGATATACCTACTAGGCTCCTTCAGTAAACAGTATATGGCACTGAATCATGATGTAAGTTAGACATTATGATGTTCTGGACCTTTGCTTGAGGATATTTTCTCTAACTGGACCTTATTGAACTTTAATTAAAGACCCCTGATCTAAAGTTTTACCTCAGCATCCTCTGATGGTCAAAATCGCTCCATTAGAGAAGTGGAACAGCTGATGTTCATCATGATCCTGTATCTCTCTGTGCCCTCATTAATTATAGCTGCTGGTAATGAACGTCTGCAAATAATCTAAGGTAAATAAATACACAGTTCATGTAGTGACATTATTGGAAGGAATCACATGTTCAAACAGTTTTCCACCAAAATGTCCATCTATAGGGCTGCATGCTGACAGGTGGTGGCAGTTCCCCAAAGAATAATGTGTTTCTATCACATTTTCTTAGTCTCAGAAGAGTAAAGAGTCTTTGATGGCCGATTTCTGAATTATTTGTGCACTAAACTCTCATCAGGAGAAAAGAGAAGCTTAACATAAACATTGTAAGACGTTCTGTAGTTAACTGTATTTTACCTGACTGAAGTGTAATAATAAACTTTGGAGTTTATTTCAAAATCTACTGTCCTGTTTATCAAACCTTTCTACACAAACATGGAGTCAGCTTTCTTATTCCAAATTCACGTTCCACCTTAAATGGTGCCGTTCAGTGATTACATTCTGGGATGCTGGGGTTCAGCATGTAACTGGTGCAGCATTTAAAGTGGAACAGAAAAATAGACGACAGTGAACAGGATTTTTGACTAGTCTATGGAAAAACTAGGCCTCAGATATGAGGCAGCATTCATAACCATTTCAGAAAGTTTCTCTAGAACAGAGCATTTCACACCAAACCGCTCTGAATAAACACTTAATGAATTTAATGTAGATTAACAGAAAATAAGTAATAAGAAGGATAAGAAGTCATTATTCTGAGAAGTCATAATTGAAAAAGGTGAAAGCCAAACATCAGAAATAATAAGTGAAAATTTTGACAAACTCTTGCGAAAAATTGTGAACATTTTGTTCTACCTGGTGGGAATTGGTTTCCATAGTTACTCCAGCCATCACAAAAAAACAAACAAACAAAAAAAAAAACAGGAAAAAAACGAACAAGAACTGACACAAGAAATGAAAAGAAACAAGAAATGTTCTGCTTGCATAAATATTCACACCCCTGTGCTTCAAGCACACACATATGGAACAAAAACTTCAAGGCATTCTCTTTATTTTTATTTGTGAATTAGACAATAACTAGTGTCCAGGATTAGTTAGGGCTACTAAAGTCTGCCCTGTACATAGAAAGGACGTCTTTGGGATCTTTGTACAGTGGAAACTTGAACCAGGAGAACCTTATATAAAATATAACAGACCCACTTTGAGACTGTGTGTGTTCATGAGGAGTGGAAGGAAACTTTCAAAATAAAATCACGACGATAAAACATAATGTTGGGTTTATTAGCAGAACAAAACAAACAGGCTGCTGAAACTCATGAAAGCCACGCTAAAGACGATCAAAGCCAGTTTTCAAAAACTGTAATATTGATTAAAATAGAACTCATTAAGGATTCTGGGAGGCTGTGACGACGCAATTCAATGTAGCACTGATTACTTTTGCTGTCTCCTCAACCTCCTTGAAAGTTATCAGACAACGTTGTCATAACTTTCTGAGGAATCACATTTCAACGTTGTGACAATGTAGAAAAGCTCCAAGCAGACGACGCTGTGGGTCACAACGTAACTGTGTCTGCAGGGCCGTTAGGAATGAAACCTGATGGTTTTGCTTCCTAACAGGAATTGGCTTGATGGTTGCCGTTAGACGCCATTAGCAAACGATCAAATGTGGAATCAGCCCCAGAAGACCTGATTAAACGATCAGAATCCTTTACACTGTGATATCAACCCATCAGGAAAACACAGAACACCATTAGCGACTGAAAACCACCAGGAACCAACACTTTTAATAGGTTCTGTGATTTGTATTTTTTTTTTCAACAGGGAGGCGCAAAATCTAGTGTGATTCTTGTCCACTCCTGCCCACAAAACCAGGCACCATTTTTGCCCGTACTGGCCCGCTTCAACCACATGCAATGCCCACCTGCACCCACCTACTTTGGGCTATGTTTGTGGTCGTCGTCCACTCCCGCCTGCGTTTGCTGTAACCTGCTTCACTGAATTAGGACATATCTGTGCAAATCTAATGACACGGCAGAGCCTCCAGACCCATCATGCCTCTGCACACCAGCCGCACACATAAACGCTTCAATTGAAAATATTTTGTGTGCTTAAGGCAAATCAACACCATGTAAACCTTAACGTGGCACCACACAATGAGCGTCGCGTCACGTGACGTCAGTGTCGACCGACAAGCTTGACGTCACTTTTAAGATTATTGTGTCAGCGTTATGTTGTTAGCTAATTGCTCTAAAAGACGTCTGCAAGTCAGCTGAATGTAATTTGAAGCTAAAACAGAGACTGAGGCTGTGAAACAGGTCAAAACGCCAAACATTTCTCATGGGGGA